TTTTTTTTTTTTTTTTTTTTTTTTTTTTTGGGGGGGGGGGTCCTGTTGCTTGTATTCTGGGTTTATTGAACGATTCATAATTTTTTAAAACACATTTTCTTTCCCCCAGTCATCACTCTCTCAGCAGAAATTGCATTTCTACAAAGTGCAATACTTGCTACAAGAAAAGAGATGCAGGCACAGATGAAGGAGAACCAAGAAAAGACAGAGAAGACTCAACCAGAAATAAAAAAGGAATAACTGTGACCTTATTCACTTTCATCTATAATCTTTATTTATTGAAATGTTGTATAAACCAAATGGACCCATGGTCCTTAGCTCAATTTTACTGTGTTGAATAATATCAGATGTTTGTGACGTCAAGAGATCACTGAAAACACTCTTATTATATTAACAATGTTGTTTTCCTAATAAAAATATCTTTGATTAACTGTATTATCTTTTTTGAGCAGTAATGCACAGCTGAATTCAGGATAATCCTAAATGTATAAAAGTACTACAACATAAATTCGATTCATTTTCAGTACAGTAGTTTTTGAGAACCTGCTCTATGTGGTTGAACATAATTTGGTCCTTTTAAATGTAAATACCCCTGCAATCATTAGTTATCAGATATTTCATGTGTCAAGTCACCTTTATTTGTCCAGTGCTTTTTACAATACAGATTGTGTCAAAGCAGCTTTACAGGATAGACAGGAAAAATAGCAAAGGAAACTCAAACTAAGGAGACAGTTCATATTCTGCTGTGAAGCAGCTCTAAAAGACAACAGTGTCATTGTTCAGATCAAGTCATTTTAGTGTTGGTTCAGGTAAAAATCAATAACAGTCTGAATTTCATTGAAATCTATGTTTACAATCTATATTAGTAAATAAGACGGCTATTAAAAAAAAAAGCATTGTTCTAGCCGTTTCTAAGTGGCTACATCATATCTGTCAGATAATTAAAATGCATAGCCAAATGCATGTTCTTTTCCATTTTAAATTGAACAATTTGTGAAAGATGGGAAGTTCATTATGTGTGTTTTTTGGAGCCCGGTCTCATGAAAGTGCGTATAAATAGTACGCCAAATAAAAACGAAAACTCGTGGTATTGATACGCAAAAATGGACTTTGGCGTGTATATGCTACGCGATGGGTAGGTTTAGGGTTGTGGGGTAGATGCGTATCATATGTACGCGAAAATTGCGTATTATATGCACGCCAAACACATGCGTATCATATGCACGCCAAAGTCCATTTTTGCGTATCAATACCACGAGTTTTCGTTTTTATTTGGCGTACTATTTATACGCACTTTCATGAGATCGGATTGGTTTTTTTAAACAATGCCAAGCTACATACACTTACCTGGAAGATGGTTTCTTGAATTCAAGCAATACTTAAGTCAACATTTTAAATATAATTCTTGTCTATTTAGTATCTACCTAACTTTTCTTTACGTCAAAAATCCGCGCTGAAACCTCAAAAAACATAATACAAGTGGTAAACGTGCACGCGTCCTCGCCTCTTGTCTTTTTGAGCTATAAAATAACATTTAATCACTGCATTAAATTAACGTCCAAAACAAGAAATACACACATTTCCTGTTCTTTGTTGTGGTTACTTCATTAGCCTTGTATCAAGCTGTAAGCGCCTCACGAATAAAATCCAAATATTCAGATACGGAATGGTAAATAAATAAATATATCCCCCATTCGCCGTCTACTTCCTGGTGTTCATCAGAAAAGAGCTGCTAGCGGATAGCGATGTTTACGGTCGGATCTGACACCGGGCGTCATATCGTTTGCGCGCTCACACAGATTTGACGGACGTCTGTTTTTATGGTTTTACCGAGATGTGTAACCGAGAAGATGTTTTCACAATGACAGGACGATGCGATCAGTGTCAGACCAGGTGAACACGCTCTTCTCGGTCAGATTACTATCCTGTTATCTCTATGCTGAGAGGAGGCTATTAACATTGAATCCCAAAAGCTAGACTACTATTTGATAAAAACAAAAGAGGATATCGCATTGTTCTCGTTTGTAAGCGTGTTCATCTTACTGTATTGTTGCTCATATCGTGGAAGATTTGAAGATCACTGATGGCGTCAAAATCTAGGGTCTCCATTCTGGATTACTTCAATATCGTCTGTGAGGGAGAAAATGGCAAAATTGAATCAAACTGCAAAGCTTGTGGCACAAGGATTCAGGCTAAACGGACAGTGACTTCTAACTTTGTTACACATTTAAAGGTAAGGGTTAATTTTTTATGTAACTGTTTCTTATCTAATAACATGACAAATGTGAGGGGTTTAACCATCAATGCATGCCCTCAGGGTCATGGAAATTTGAAGACTAATTGAAATTGTAATGTCCTGGTCAATAGTTACAGATATTAATTAAAATAGAATGAATACAATATTTTAATAACATTTGCAGTTTCTTTAAAGTCGGTTTATGATACACAAATGACTGGAAATATCACAGAAGTTCAATATCCAGAAAGTGCAAGAACCTTTAATATTCTGCTCTTTGTGTGTGTTTAGATATACGTTTACATGATTATGTGTATTGGGTTCTATATGTAATTCACCTGTATATAATTGTCACATTCACAGCGCAAACATCAGGCCATGTATGATGAGTTTGTGAGGAAGAAAGACGTGAAAAGGGAGGCAATGCAGACGTGTACTGGCCCTCCAAGTGGTCGAGTGATCTCTCAAAGTGGTGCTGGAATGAACAAGTTTGACTACAGTGACCCTCGCCAATCCCTAATTTCAGAAGCCATCGCCAAGATGATCATCCGAGACCTGCAGCCGGCACAGATAGTGGAATATGAGGGTTTTCGTGAGCTTCTTCAGCTCCTGGAGCCCCGTTACATACCAGTACCATGCCATTATATACAACAGCAGCTCCTGCCAGCCTATGTCTCCCAAGTGCAACTAGCTGCCAAACAGGCTTTAAAAGGAGCCGAGTCCTGCAGTGTGACCCTTGACCTGTGGAGAAGCAGCTCTGTGGGTAATAACAGTGGTGCTGGGTTTCTTGGAGTGACTTGCCATTTCATTAACGTAGACTGGCACATCAGATCCGCTCTTTTGGCATGCTTACCTCTTCCAGACCACAGCAACACTCAGCAAATGCTCAGCGAGTTTGATGAGATCTCCGAGTCCCATGGCATGTCTGGCAAAGTGTTCAGAGTCGTTGCAGACTTGTCGCCCTGTGAAAACAGATCGGCTTTTCATCTTCCTGGGTTCAGTCTCATTGGAAATGGTGAAGAAGATGAGGAAGATGGTAGCGATGAAGAGTCCAGTGCAGGGGAAGCCAAAGAAGCCATTAGTAGCAACGAGAACAACAAGTCTTTAGATCAGTGTCTTGGTCGAAGTAGGATAGACTGCTTTGCTCGATTACTAGCTCAGTGTGTTAAGGAAGGAGTTTGTGCTTCCCCTCAAATATCGGTTCCTCTAAACAAAGGAGCCCACCTGTATAACTACATAATTGCTACAGTGGCTCCTGAAAAACTTGTCCAAGTGTTCGGCTCCAGCACCTCAACAAATTGGCAAAGACCCTCATTCACAGACAAGTGGAACGCTCAGTTAAAAATATTACGGCAAATGGTAGAGTCAATGGATTTTCTTGAAGACATTGTAGATAGAAATGACCTAGTCCTCGGTAACTTAGAAAAAGCAGAGCTACGGGAGCTGGTTGAGGTGTTGGAGCCTTTTGAGGAGGCCTCAGACATGGTCCAAGGAGACAAGCATGTGTCCATCAGCCTAGCCCTGCCCTGTGTGCTAGGTCTGCGCAAGCACCTGGCTGAGGTCGTAACTCACCAGTGCTCTGGGATTGTGATGGGATTGTCTCAAGCTCTGGACCGCAGACTGGCAGGCATTCTTGAGGACCCTCTTTATGTAACAGCCACCACCCTGGACCCACAGTTCAAGCTGTCCTGGAGCAGTGACAGCGGCTGGCACAAACATGTGCTGCTGGAAGAGGTTCGAAAGCATACTCGGCCTTTGAGTCCACTAGAACATCACTCAGAGGCCCAGCCGTCACCGTCCAAACGCTGCAAGCTGTTCTCTTTCATTAAGCAGAGGCCGACCGCCCAGGCCAAGACTGTGGAGCAGGAACTGTCCACATATCTCCATGAAGAACCCACAGATGAGGATCCACTACAATACTGGAAACGCAAGTCCATTGATTTCCCCCTACTCTCACAAGTAGCCAAAAAAGTTTTTACCGTGCCAGCAACAACCACATCAGTGGACCAGATATTTAACCTGGTTAGCAAGACGCTCAGACCAGAGCAATGCCGACTTCTGCCAAAAAACCTGGACACTCTGATTTACTTGAAGGCTAACTATAGGATACTTTGGTCCTAACTGCAAAGAGAGCTTTTTCTTTGGATTTTCTTTGTACTGATATCAAACCAAACACCTCAAATGCAATATGGGGATTGTGCCTGATATATATCTATCTATAAAAAAAACTGTACATTTACCCCAAAGTAAACTAAATACTGTTGTCAGCAAATATTCAATTTTTTTTGTAAGGTACAAAGGCTAGGCCTAAATTAGATAAATTAAGTAACTATTATGGGTAACAATTTATAATAACTTTCATCTATCTATCTCACTATTTGAAAATATAATGCATTTTAATGAAAATGGAAATGAAAGTTATTATAAAATGTTAACCTATTATGACTCATTATCAGATGCTGGTTGCCTTTATTGAAGACTTTTATAAAACATTATGTTCCGTCAACTCACTTTCATCACCCAAAAACGCAACAGGATCATGCAAGTGCAGTGCACACTGTACTTATACTTGATTAATTGTTAAGTATTTGCATAATAATTCTCCTTCACTATCCGCATGACATAGAACCCCAGAAAACACACTATTCTTGTAGCCAAATGCTTTCTCAGAACACCTTTAAGAAAAAGAATAGTACATTTCCAGCTAAATTAAACGTTATTAAACATTTGGTGTATAATAGTTAGCTTTATATTAATCTAAGGAAAGAACTGGTCAAATAGAGTTACTGTGTGGCTGACAGGCTTTTTGTGTGGGTTCTTTGTGTACAAAACCCACAAGGTAGAAAGCTGCAGGCAGGTTCTGTAATTGAAAATAATTACATTTCAGGCCTATGGGGAATCGGAGAACGCTGATGGTGGACTGCAGTCTCTCGCTTGCAGGGCTGAACCGAGAGCAATCAAGCCTGTGGGATATTAAGAAGAGTTGTTGTGCATTAAGGACCTTTTGTTGTGAAAAAGACATTTCCATTTAAGTAAAAGTGTTTGTTATTAAACCTGACATTTTGTCCTGTCATAACTGCTGGGTCAAACAATAATATGCCAAAGGTTAAGCAATTTCAAGGTCTTTATAGCACAATCACTGATGTCAGTGTGTGCATTTACATTTACAGCACACTTGTGCATCACAACAGAGTTTATGCGTGCTTGTATTCTGATCATGTGGAGAAGAAAATAGCAAAAGGACATTCAATCAATAAACTCAATTTCAAACAGATTTATGTGTAAGGCGGGGCAGCACTGCTGCAGTGCAGATATAATTCGTGAGTGTGTGTATGTGGGATGTGAATCCTGAATTCAGTTTCCCACTCAGTCTCAGTGGGGCTACAGTATCATATTCTGGGTAACATTGTACTGGCAATTGTATTTTCTATTTCTGCACACGTAATTTGCAACGTCTGCCAAATTTTCAATGGAAAAGTCCATTTGACATTTCATTTTCAACATGCATGCAGGAATGGCCCAACCATATTGAAGCAGCAATAGCAGTGGCTCTTATTGCAATTTCATTTCCTCATTAACTTTACATGAGTGTACTGCATGTATGCGGATAATGTTGGATATATTATCCAACTTTAGATAGATAGAAAGATACATAGATAGATAGATAGATAGATAGATAGATAATACAGTTTCAACACAGTTACATTTTGAGACAATATAATAAACGATCAAACAGCTCAGATTGTCAGATATGGGACTGCTACTACTCTTATTATTTGTGCAGTATAAATGATAAATAATTTTATATATTACCAGTATATTTTCCTTACATTTCTATTGTGATGGATTAACCAGAATATCAGCCAAAATATGGTAACTCAACATATCTGCAGAGTTAAACATGCCTACTTGATGAGGCAATAAATACTGATTTTTTTATGATGGAATAACACCTTCTATTTCACATACTATTTGTATAAATAGTAGGCAATACAGAGTGTATACCACCCAGTAAGCTAGTATCCTGAACATTGCCAAAACCTTTGGACTTTCCCTGGTTTCCCAGCTGGCAGAGATTCAAGAATGTGTAAAAAAAAATCTGGCAGGGAATTAGTAACACAGTACTAATGACTCGAATGGGTAGAGTGGGGGCATCAGCACTCTGTACAGAAATCTAACCTTAAAATACACCACATTTCATATCTGCGATTGTTATCTTCTTCAGAGTGATCAGTTCCGCCATCACAACATCTTAAAGGTGGGGTACTGATTCGGGCTGACTAGCAAAACAAACTTGTAGCCAATCAGCAGAAAGGGGCGTGTCTACTTATGATATGGAGGAGAGAGCTTTCAGTGCACAGGACGGACATTATCCGAGCCGAGTGACAGAAAGATAGAGATGGCGGATAAAAAGCAAAAGAGGAAAACGTCTGCGGAACAAAAGAAGGCTTAAGGCAATAAAGCAAGAAGTAGGACCCATATTGGATCAGCTTTCCAGCGCTGGAGAGAACTCAAGGAACGGAAGGCCTGCGACCGGACGCCGAGGTTGCTTTGTTTCTTCTCGATAGGTGAGTAACACCGTGGTAGGGGCGTGTTTGTTTTGGTGATTTCAAATGTCAACATTGGCTACCAGAAATCGCTTACCCCACCTTTAAGTGTCTGTAAACGGTAACAACACAGTTTGCTCATGGGTCAGGGAGTGCAAAAATTCGATTCTTCAGGGACTGGCCAGTGCCATGTTGACCTTTGGACCACCTTGATCTGAGGGTAGTAAAGGCCTAAACTGAACTATGACATTCACTATGTGAAGAGACTGAGTCATTCTCAACTCTCTGCCAAACTACAGTTATTAATAAACTGCCTGTTGTTGGTGTGTGAACAGCAATAATATCCTGATCAAAAGGGGGAGGGAAATACCTGATAAATCTGGGTTATATGCCATTAAGTGTCAGTGCTCATTACACATTTGAAATTGAGCAAGAGGAAAACGGCTACTTGATGCACCAGTTGAAAAAAATGGGGTGGTGACGTGTTTAAACAATGAACGTATAAAATTCCACCCCCCATTATATTTTGGCCTTTTTTTAGCATGGAAACAAGAGAGCAGCTGCCCTTCAGTCTCTCTCCCTCTCTGACCAGCTCCTGTTTGTCACAGTGAGTTATCTTTATCTTCATCTTTAACTCTCAGACTTAGGAACATATTCAGGCTGTCATCTCTCTGACTCACAAACTAAATCAACAGCACCCTTCACACGCTCACAGCTAGCAGACTCATTTCATCGCACAGCTAAGTCATGGCGGACAGAAAGGACAGCAAGATCCCCAGTAAAGTCGGCCTGATAAAGAAGAAAGAAAAGAAAGTGGAGAAAGTAGAGAGTAAACCTGAAAAGGAGAAAGAAAAGAACAAAGATAAAAGTGAAAAGGTGACAAAGAAGCCAGAGAAGACCCCAGAAAATCAGCAAAAAAATGAGGAGATGCCTCAAGGAAATGGGGAAGTAGCAGAAGGTGCCAAAGGCCCGGTCAAAGATGAGGAGTTTGAGCTGGAGCCTATGGAGCTGCCTCCATTCGAGATCATTATAGGGTATGTCAGACATCTTTTATTATCTCTCATCACAAACTGGATCCACAGTAATATTTCTATCACTCAGCAAGAACAGTGGCACACTCTCTTAGGGATACAACAGTTTGTCACTGGCTCAACAACCTTAAAGTGACAACTTTGTGTCTTATTTACCCCTTAAACAGTTCATAATTGTAACTTAAGGGTACATATTACCACTCTAAGAAATTATTAGGCACCTTTTAGGGGTAGAGGCACAAATTTGTCCCTTTAAGGGTACTGACAAGCTGCTGTATCCCTAAAGGTAAATTTTTTGCTGATTTGTTTCTGACAGTGTCTCTTTCAAATTCATAACAGCATGGCATATTGCATGACACCACAACCTAATTTAAGATGACTTTGCCACTTGTTTGACTTTGACAATAAAAAGGCATTTTAATAAATGAAAACTTATAGATAAGAGTGTTTGGGTTGGTCGGACCAACTTTGACAAAAGTTACATCTGAAATTCCAACACGTTGGGTAGGAACATTATACATTTGAACAATCCAGGTCATTGCTTTGAACCCCAGTGCTTTTAGAAAGTTGGGACTTTTCTGTAGGCTACGCAGTATAATATTTATGTCTTTATGAGTTTTCTTGTCCCTGCCATGGTGTAGTATCCCGAAACCATGAAGTTGCAGGCACTTCATGACCAAACGTATAGGCACCACCTTCTAATTGACCAGTTTGACTATTTGAACTACACCCACAGTAACAGTTGCATAAAATCTGAACCAAAGAGCTCAATGACTTTCAACTGGGTACATCACTAAGTAAGGTCCATAAGGTTTGATTGACCTGCACAAACCCAGACCTGAAACACCATTGGGATGAATTGGTCTTATGTTTAAATAGGAGCAAATCTCTAACCCTAACCCAACCATGATTCAAATTCTAGCAGACAACACTCCCAGAAATGTGGAAGCTGTTAGAGCAGACTAATTCCCTATTAATATCTGGTTTTGAAATTGTTCAACCAGCACATATGGGTGTGGTGTTCAGGTGGCCATTTACTTTAAGCCCGTACTTTAAGTCAATTCATTTTACCATTCAATGGGTTCTTCTTTCAAACAAAATAATACTCTAGAGAAACTCATCCGAGATTTTATAAGAATTTGTTTCAACAAAGTGATCAATACAAGAGCATTAAGTCCTTTTGAGTCACTGCCTATTAGTGCCCACTCAAACAGAAGCACTTCTTGTCCAACGTTAATGCATTCAGTTGTTTTGAAGCTGGAATACACCACACAACTTTGACAACTAGCATTTTAAAATCTGTTCTAATTTTCAGTAATGAAGTCATGTGGTGTATTCCAGCTTTTACTTTAATCTAAGCCACACTTTCTCACAATAGGTTGTGAAAAAAGTCTTATTTCCAAATGTCCTCCTTCTTCCCACAGAGACAGAATGAACCCGAACTTCTTTAAATTCCAATTTAAAAATGTGGAATATTCCTCCGGACGCAACAAGACCTTCCTGTGCTACCAGGTAGACATTCAAGGAGGCGCTGCAGAGACAGAAGGCCTTCGCGGTTACCTAGAAGATGAGCATTCAGGTTCACATGCTGAAGAGGCCTTCTTTCAACAGGTGCTGGCCTATTATGACAAGTCATTCCACTACACAGTGACCTGGTACATGTCCTCGAGCCCATGCGCAGCCTGCGCTGCTAAGCTCATAGAGATCTTGCGAGCACGCAAGACAATGTGCCTTAATATCCACTGCTCCCGTCTCTTCCAGTGGGAGGAAGCAGAGATACAGGCCGGACTTCAGGCACTAGTTAGGGCGGGGTGTAAAATACGCATGATGAGGCCTGTGGATTTTGCATATGTTTGGTCTACGTTCGTTGAGAACGAGGAAGATAACTTTACACCCTGGGAGGACTGTCAAGATAACTATGATTATTATGATGAGAGGTTGTGTGATGTTTTAAAGTAGGGTAAAGAGCCGCAGCTGGCCTCTGATTAAGACTGTTAAAAACAGCCTGGGCACCGCCTTTAAGCAAATTTAGTACTTGAAAGCTAATTATTACAATGTCCCTGTAACTACAACAGCATTGTTTTCTCTGTCAACACTATTCGTCCTGCAAAATCACTTTGTTACCTTTATTGATTTTAAACTTACATAATGAATTCAAACCACAAAAAATATATAGGTAATACTTCTATTTTACTAAGTATCATTTTAAGAAAAATTTTAGAAGCTAAACATCTGGGTGCAAAATTCAAGCATTAAATTCCAGTTAACTAAGCAAATTCTTTTGCTAACTAAAATATAGTTTGCTTCGCTCTAGCCTCTAAGCATTATGTTTAAATATTCTAATTTGTATAATAATTTTTTTTGTTTTTTTAATTATTTTATTTTTAATTATTTTGAAATTAAATGATGAATTTTGGCATAGTGAACAGTCTCCTTGTATTTAAAACAATAAACACGAGTCAATTAGCACAATTGCACAATTAGCAAAATTTAAAGACAGCAGTATGACGGTGTGACACTTTTCGATGCTATTTATATGTACTTATGCAGTGGATCAAAACTGTGTTCCTGAAGTCCCCCCTAAACTGCACATTTTCGCTGTGTCTCATTTTAAAGGCTGCACCCTCCAGAGGTCGCATTTGTCGGCCTTATCTGTCGACCATTATATTCTAAAGACAGAAATGACTAATTAAGCCTGGTGAGGACTAACAGTGAATGTTATAATGGTTGCTTTTCTGAAATGAGAGAGGTTCTGTGACGTATGAGGCTGACTAATGCAACCTTTGGAGGGTGCTGCTTTGGAAATGAGACAGCTTTTAAACGTCTCCAGGAACACAGCTGAGAACCAATGTACTGAAGAAAAAAATGGGAAAATAAGGATATCAGAATAATAGTGGAATCATTATTTATGGGACATTTATAGTGCATTAATATTAGAGGTACATTTAATATAGTGATAATTACTGGAAAAATATGAACTGTAAAGCATAATTTATCAAACAATCCAATGACCCTCTAGTGGTGAAAAGAACATCCATACAATTTAGAGATGCAACAGGAGGGTGGAAGAACAATGGAATCGAACCCCTACATATTCTTAGTGTATATAACTGGAACAGTCCTAGGAGCTTATGTTTGACTTATGACTACTGAACACCCTACACACCATACAGTACACTGTGAAATTCCATTGGAAAAAAGGCCATCCTCCAACCATTCTTCAAGAACGGCTAAGAAATAATGTGAGTTTCAGACCTGCTTTGGTCTAGATTGTGTACACAGTGCTGGAGATTTTTGTGTCCTGGAAGACTTCTGTGATAATGGAAGACACATTTTCCCATTTCAGTTTATCCAGACCACAGCCAATCCTTGCAAGAGAAAATGACATCAGTTATTGCAGTCTATTCAGCAGAATGATAAAATAAATTCAAAAGTAAAGTTACCCTAATTCTTTCCAAGTATTTAAAAATGCAATTATCAAGCTATATTTGAGTTTTGACAACTGCAAAATTATTTTTATTGTCATTTTTCAAGTCATTTAGCTAGAATCATATTCAAAACAAGCAAATCTAAAATCAGTATCTGCATTAAAATGTCAGTTTACCGAGGCATGGATATACTGTTAACGCCATTGGCCAAGCAGTGTTCCCTCATAGACACGAGGCCCTTTCTGAGATTGTCATAGGTGGGTTTTTGGTTGTACTTTTTCTTTGTGACCTGGTTCAGGAAAAAAGTGGAAAAGGTAAGTTTTTCTTAACAAGAAAGCTGTAAGCCAGGACAACTCTACTTTTATCTTAATTTATTTAGTAAAACATACAACATATGTGAACTAAACACTACAGGCCATCTTACCAGGTAGTACACAAAACGGTCAGATATTCTAAGGACAGCACACTGCCCAGGTTGCTTCTCTGCACAAAACAGAAGACAACAAAGAGAACTGAGAATCAATTGGGTGTAATTTGAGTGTCACTTCTCTGTTATGATAATTCTCACTCACTCTGAGCCAGAAGCTCATCTACTCCACCAAATGTCTTCTTGAAGAGCACAGCAATCCCTGCTCCCATGCGGCAGTCTTCACTGATGCAGTGCGCCAGGGCATCGGTGGGAGGACAGGTGAACAAATCTCCTCTCTTGTGCAGCAGCCGCCATCCTGATCTGCACGCGAGCTGCAATAAATGAGCAAGAACACAAACCCAATCAAAACAAGACAATGCCCACAACCAACACTCTACTTACATTTTTTATTATTATTATTTAATCAGGCTGAATACCTTTTTGAAATTGTTTTGCTAGGGAAGTCTTTGGTCAATCTTTACACACATTCGAAAAGTAAAAGAGCACGTTTTTTCAAAGTAATGTTGCTCAAATGAAGACATACTTACTTTTGCCATACCTTCATCCACACGATTTTGTTCTTCAGATTCCTTTGAGATCTGAGCAGGGACTTGACTGGAATTATTTTCTGTATGGACACATTTTATCTTGACTACAAAAAGCTATTGAACATTTCCAGTGTTACTGTCCAGGAGAAATATACATGGTTAGTCACGATTTTAAATTTATTCTGACTTGAGAAGAATACACGAATATTGAAATATATAAATAGCCTAATATGCTAAATTTAACAGTCATCTTCCACAAATTATCTGTAAATGTGTTACAGCATAACAGTCAAACGCAAATTCATGAAACAGCAAAAAAAACAAAACAAAACAAAACAAAAAATACACCGTTTTGGTCAATATTACAACATAACCAACCCCCAGACAACACAAAATTTACAAAGAAATACTGTCCTGAAACCTGCCAAGCCTGTTAAAATGTACCTTCATGATTCAGCGGTGCTCTTTATTTAAAATCATATATATTTACAGAAGTATGGTGACAACGTTCCAATGTGACAACTAGCTACATCCCCCCTGTATAATCTATAATGATCATGTTTAAGTAAATTACTAATTAATTAAGTTAAATGGAGCAAACTAAGGTGTGTTTAACTTTAAGTTACATGTTTAAGTTCTTTACCAACAGCCACTGGTTAGATACGTCGAGTTCTGGCTAGAGCTGCTGGACTGAAAACTTACCACAACAATGAAGTTGATGTGTGTTTTAATTACTTCCCTTTAAACGTTGACATAGTTCTTCTTCTTCTTCTTCTTTAAATTTTATTGGCAGTTGGCAAACCAACTGAAAGGTGCATTTACCGCCACCTACTGGACTGGAGTGTGGGCAGTACTTTGGAAGAAAGGACGAGGAGAGGAAAAATAAAATAAAATAAAAATTGTATATATATATATATATATATATATATACACACACATATATATATATATACACACATATATATATATATATATACACATACGTTGATATAGTTCTACTCACTCATTGTAAATAAAGAAGCATGAAAAAAAAAACACGAGGTTTCTCTTTTGCTTTGAGTGCAGGTTCAAATTCATGCTAATGATAGGCTTGAGTGCCATCTAGCGTCAGGGAGCAAACTTTATAAATCCACTGAGAGACATTGAAGGCAGTTAAACGCTGATAAAAGGGAATGAAAGGTTACATTTAAATAATAATAAAAATATATTTACACGCCAAACAAGCTTCTATAACGTATGCATTTGTTTGTTTATTATTTTAAACAGTCTCACATCAGCATTTAATGGTTATTATACAATTGCTACTATTTGGAAAAAATGATGATGATCATAATAATAATACAGTTTGTAAATATGGAGTCTTTAACATAGCATGAACATTTTAATTAATTAAATATTCATATTTAAAATAGTTGATTAAAATATTTATAATAAGATTCTTTATATATCACTTTATAGTGATATTATGTTTCTGTAGCATCACTGATTTAAAAAAGTGACAATTGTATAATAATTAATAAATAGTGACAACTGCTGACATCCTGAGACTAATAATTATTAGCAAGTGATATAACATTAGTGATGTTATGATGTTAATTTAATCATAAAACGGCTTGAATAAAATAGTCCGAAACAATATCGTAATATTCTGCTATGGAGATATTTTGGGGTTTTGTTACCCTGCTCAGTAATAATTATGATAAACAAAATAAAAGTAATCATAAACCTATTCCTATTACTATTAATTACATTTAATACAACTGCCAAAACAAAACCACACTTACATTTTTTTCCAAACACAAGCGTGACCTTGTAATAAATAAAAAAAAATAATAATTAATAGTACATTAAATTTATAATTGATGAGTTTTTATTTTTGAGAAATTTACAAATGCAAATACTTTTACAATTGTGACCTTCCGGAGACTTCATTCTTTACAATATTCATGTATTTACAGACATGAGACATGCCAATTTGAAATTGATTGGTTGTTTATAAATGGAGTAATATGCTACATACAGTAAACGCAGATGCACCTCATCTGCAGAATAATAATAATAGAAAGTCAGAAATCCAGTCAGTCATGAAAGTGAGCCTTTCACAAATCCCAAAAACAAGAATGAAAGAAACAATAAAGAAAACATGAATATTTACATGTAGATAGAATAAATTCTGTTTGTCAAAAAAGAAATGGGAGTTACACCACTACATAAAAAAAGTGCTGATGGCTTAAATTCACTTGAACGAACCACGACTAAGATCACATAATTCAGCGGAGAATTAATAGAAATTATATTAAGAACATGTGAGAATAAATCTGTTCTCAGATACCAAGGATAACAAGAACTCGGCATCCACTCTCTTCTCTCTCGGAATCGCTCAGAACGGAATACTCTTCTTCGGTGTTTGTTTACACTGGTTTTCCAAACAGCGCCACCACTCTTTGCCTTTTTGTGCAACAGCAGCTGCTCCACGCACGTGATCTAAGCTCAAATCTGATTGGACAGCCCGTTTCATCGCGGAGCGACGGGGAAAAAATCGACACACAAGACGAAAAAAACAAACAAATGATCGCTCCTGGTGTGAATAGCCCCATAGGGATCTATTGTTTCGATTCAAAAGCGTTCAGTGTGAAAAGCCCTTAAGACTGTACTTGAGAAACTATGCATGCTCTGTATTGGTTGGTTAAGGGGTAGGCTTATGTTAAGGGTTGTTTTGGTGAATATGGAGTTCAGAAGTTGTCGCTGCGGCGTCTCTGTTCATTGATCCAGTCCCCGGGGTTCACGTCCATTTGCAGCATCTTCATGACCCACTTGTCACGTCGTGCCCCGTCAATGAACTCATCCAGAGACAACTCCCCTGAGGACACAGCAAAGAAACCCAGCATCAGCTGCTTTTTCAAGAAAGCCTTTGAGCAGAAAGCTAGATTTTTTCCACAGTTTGATTAATTATTAACATCACTGAATTTAAATAAACGCAGGCTATATTTATTATAATAAAGGCAAAGACTAAAGTTTGGCTTAACCATTTAATAATTGTAGAAAAATAATGAATCAGTAAGTTGTACCATCTCCATTCTCATCCACTAGCTCAAATATTCGGTCCACCACCTGATCTGGGGTCAGTAGGTTACACTCTTCATCAAGTTCACCATGGCAGGCTTTCTTTAGTCGGTAGATTGACTGTGAAATTAAAGTAAAGGTGTTAATTTCTTTCTTAACGTCTTCTTTATAGTAGTATTACAAAGTATAACAGCATCTCTGCACACAAATGTCCTGCTGTCAGAGAGGTCATATGGATTAATCCCCTGTAAACATCTCACTTGTAAGTTTCAATGTCAAGGTGAAAGTTACGAAACAAGTTATGAAATTGTAATCTCAGTACCAGAGCACACAGAATTTTGTTTTTCATCCTTTTTTTTCTTTAGTAATCTAGTAAACCACTGAAGTATTATAATCCCAGTCGATGTATAAATCCGTCTGACTGTGTTGACAATGGGAAGGACATGAGAAATGATTACCTCCACAATCTCCTTGAGCTCTGTTTTGTCGATGCAGCCGCTCCCATCTTTGTCATACATTTTAAAAGTCCATTTCAGTTTGTGCTCCAACTTTCCTCGCAGCACTAGATTCAACGCTGCAACGTATTCCAGAACATCAATAGTGTTGTCCTATGAAAAATTTTTTTGAAAGGAAGGTAAAGAGAAAAGAGGATTGAACTGTCAAAAATACTGATCATTTTCAGGTTCATTTTTTAAATATGCAATCTCTTTCCCAGTGTATATTATATTATATTATATTGGTGTTAAGTATTTAATACACTCACTTCTCACACAGTGTTTATGCCTACTTTTTGTAACGTAACTGAAATTGAATAACTTACCCCATTTTTATCAAAAGCACGAAACATGTTTTCTATATAATCGGCCGCTTCTGGGTTTCCAGTTACACCAAAGAAGCTCTTGAACTCATGCATGAAGAGGTTTCCGCTCGGACATTCAACCACAAAATTTTTATACCACTCCTGCAGTTCAGCAACATCAATCTCTTTATCGTCCGAATCGTCACTGAGTCGCTGACCCATTGCGAATGATGACAATAAAGAACACAAGCTCAGCTTCTCAACAAAAAATGTCCATTATCACATCTGGCAGCTTCACTGTCCTGACATTCTCCCTGATCCAGACATCCCAATAAACCTTTAAGCTCCACAAACCGATGATACAACACCAAAAATGTCTGATTTACGAGACAAATGTGTATCCCCTTTAAAAAAAGTAGAAAAAAACTCACGTTAAAAATTTCAGTTTGTACCAAAGTGTAAAACTATCCTCAACCCTTCAGCAAAGGTGCTCTACTGGCTTGGGATTCAGTACAAGGACTGTTTTGGATCACATGACTGCAAGGGTTTATTCATATCAATCCATGTCTGAATCAATTAGCTTGAAACAAGGTCAAGAGCTTTGCAATAATTCATCATTTAGTACACAGAGCGTTCCATTCCTCAATTCAGGTTCAAGGGCTCCCTGAGGGTCTCATGTCAGAACATTAACCATGACCTGATTATTTTTACCTGTTAAATTTAAAATAATCTTTTGAAGGCCAAGTTGAAGGCCACAAATTCCACAAAAAAATCTTCTATTTAATTACTGAAAAAAAAAAAAAACACTCAAAAATGGATCAGTGAAAATACATTTGGATAGTGTTTACTTCTATACACTATAACATAGCACTTTACCTTTGAGAAACCGAGAAAAAAAAAACCATCATAGACACCTTCCCCCAGGTGTAAATTATTAGAGCACATTTTACAAGAAAATACAATTTCAGTCTCTTTACGTCAAAATTTCACATTTAATTCAGTGTGTTACTTGCCATTTCTTTGTAATTGTGAAACTTACTAGCACTTTCTGAATTTTCTGTATAAATATATATTTTTAATTATACAACTATTCTCTATATTTTAAAATGTATTTCTTAATGATGTACATGAATGATATACTATCTAGCATTTTTGTACAGGGGTCCCTTGTTTGGCTGAATGGGAAGGGGGTCCCTGCATCTGAAATGTTGAAAGCCCTGACTGTATCCTGCTCTTGATCACTCACTCAATCCTGTGAATCATTCAGACAATCTGAGTCATAATCCCCTTTGCCCTCTGCTCTTACTATTAATAGTTTTTCAAAAATAGGATCTAGAGAAGTCTGGCCTAGTTCATGAGGTTGGTGCATTTTGTCTGGACACGTACCACTTTGGACCACATAAAAACTAAAATTTAAACGGCTTTAAAATAAAGGTTATTGGCTTCAATGGTTCCACAAAGAACTATTAACATCTGTGGTACATTATCACTTAAAGGTTCATTCATTTCTGAGAAAATGTTCTTTTGGAACCTTTATTTTTAAAACAGTAATAATGGGGTTGTGGAAGTCCAATAGCCTTTTTTTCAGGTATGGGTGACCCAGACCAAATGGATCACAAAAATATTTTAACGTGATATGTTAAAATAGTTCTGAGATAACAGATAGTTCTGCAATGAGATATAGGCTGTATAACCTCAAAGAAAAGGGATTATGTGATATTACAGAATATCAATGCAAAGCAGCAGACTTATGATTTCACTGTAATAATCTCTTTATATATGCAGTGGAGTAGTGTCTGACATACAGTGTTCACAATGCTTTGATGCATTACACACACCTGCATGCTGACGTACTGAAATGTTACTGGTCAAAAATGCTCAGTTGTCTTCAAGTGCAAACACATAGTACAGCAGGCCACACAGGGTCTGTTTTGTCAGTCCATGAACTTTAAAGATCTTTTCCAAAGTGCTGACTAGACTTTATAAGGATAAGCTCCTTTGGCCTATAGGTATCCAGGCCACTCATTGCACAATTAATTCATAATCTTACTGGATTAATAGTGAATGCAATAACAAATATGGAGAATTTGTACACGACGTCACATACATTTGGAATGCAAAATAATATTTTGAATGAATTTTTACTTCATTTTACTCATCGTTTACTTGTAATTTGCTTTTGTACCATGCATTAGATGACAAAATTAAAATCAATTACATCTGAAACGATTTAGTAGTTTTAGAGTCATAATTACGGCAAATAAGGCAGTAATCAGTACTGACTGACTCACTTTCAATTGGCGTAATTACAATTACAAGTCATAAGTGGATTGTAATATCTTTAGATTTAATGAACTGCTGAGCAGTGCTGATTTTTATTTGTGATTAGGATGATTAATATATAAAAATTATTCATCACTGCTTTAATCTGATATGACACTAAATAAGCTACAATGATACAAATATAGCCTGTGAATTATTAACACAGACAAGAAGAGAAAGCCAAATTGAATTCAAATTTCGTAGAAAGCAAAGTTCTTTGTTATAGAGAAAAAATACTAACAGATGCCCCTGGGTGTCAGTGTTACAAAGGCTACAGTTTCATGCTGTGATTGGCTGCTTGATCATGTTCTTTTGAGCCTGTATGAATGAATTCTTAGTGCTGATTGATTTACACATATAGGCTAGTTTATAATTGCTCGGATTAAAGAATGTTAAGTCAAAATTGTCTTGTGAGGATTTAACATATTTATTTAAAGCGATTACTAACGTGGAAGTACCTCAGATACACCTCAGCATTAGTCAGAGCACTGACCGCGGGTGTCAACATTATGCAATCAAAAAAGACTCCGAGAGGAGAGTTATTCATTGGCTCTGAATTGAGATTAATGTCTGATCCAGTTGCCAGGGCAGTGAAATAATATTTCCTCTGTCTCTCATCCCACCTCCACAAGCCCCTCACCCAAAACACACAGCAGGGAACCGAGAGCAATATTTCTGACGGTAGGCCTACATCTCGCTCCTTTAATCAGAATGAGTAATAATCATCCACAGCACACACACACACTGCGGGGAAATTAAAAAGCAGAAATTAGGATAAGTACAGAGTGCTACTGTTTAATTAGAGTATCAGCAGTTACCTGAGCAGGGATTCAAAGACTTATTAAGCACTTTACTGTTTATGGTTAATTATTTTTTTGATGCAAATTAATGAATTGTTTGGCCACGTCCTTCATATAATAATAGCCTATGTGTAGCCTGTTTGAAATAAAATGCATTAATTATTGTATTAATATTACTACATGACAAGAGGTGCAGGAAAGCACAAAATCAAACTGTCATTTAGACAACTGCCAGACTGCAAAGTCGTAAATCAACCTCCAACAGCCGAGGCAAGATACAAGACATCTTTAATCCCCGTTTTGCCAAGACATGACATTTGAAGATGTTCTGGTTGTGTACTTCATCCAAAATAAATGGAGGTGACATTTTTGGGATTATTCGTTTATATTTGTTCTGTAAACCAGCCAAGAAAAAGAAAAAAGAAAAAAACCCCACAGAATTCACTTGGGCCGGACCGGATGACACTGAACGCGTTTTTGCGTTATACACTGAGCCTTTTATGGAAGCCCGTTTCCACCACTGAATAAAAAATCAAAAATAAAAAAGGTAATTGCGACTTTTTATCTCACAATTCTGACTTTTTTTCTCGTAATTGCGAGTTTACATCTCAGAATTGCGTCATATAAACTCACAATTCTGACTTGTTTTCTCTTGCGAGATATAAAGTCAGAATTGCGGGAATTAGCCAAAACTCACAGTTGCGAGGAATAAAGTCTCCTTCAATGCTTTCAGAATCTTTACTTATTAAAATGATTTTGTTTTTGTATTTTAAAATATAATTTTTATATTAACATATTTTAGTGACAGTATATTTATTGAACAAAAATAAATTATTTTATAAAAATAAGCAGAAAATAGTACAAACTTTGCTAAAGAGATTGTTTTAAACAAGTATTAACCTAGACATTATTAAAAAAAACATAATTTTAGCTGAAGTATTTGAATCAATACTGTGTGCCCCGTGTGTGGGGTAAAAGGCCCCTCTTGCCACCGCATACATTTATACGATTTTTAAACTAGGGAAACTAGACACGTTTTATACTTTTCATGTAAATGTATTTGATCAAACATTATCAAACATAGTCTAACGCTCTCCAAAAACATGCACTTTTGCCTGTTTTGCTTTAACAAAACTAATGAGACACCAGTTTGTTCAGTGATGAAGAGAGTTAAGAGCAAACATTCCTGAATGGATTTATTATAATATTATAATCTGAATTTATGTTTTTTATAAAAAAAAAAAAAAAACATTATTTTTAGCTGAAGTATTTGTATCAATACCGTGTGCCCCGTGCGTGGGGTAAAAGGCCCCCTTGCCACCTCATACATTTATAAGATTTTTTTTAAACAAAATAAACAACTTGAATGATTTATCTTCACACAAAATCTGTTGCTCCATTAATGTTCAATACAAACATGTATATTTTTTCTGCAATTATACATTTTAGGCACAGTAAATAGCACATTTTTTCTTAAGGTGTGCCTTTAGCCCCCCTAATTGCGACTTTTTATCTCACAAATCTGACTTGTTTTCTCGCAATTGCGAGTTTACATCTCACAATTCTGACTTTTTTTTCTCAGAATTGTGAGATATAAACTCGAAATTCGGAGAAATAAACACAATTGCGAGATATAAAGTTAGAATTGCGTGATATAAACTCGCAATTGTGTTAGTCAGATTTGTGAGATAGCCTATAAACTCGCAATTGCGAGTTATAAAATCAGAATTGCGAGATATAAACTCGCAATTCTGAGACCTTCAATGCTTTCAGAATCTTTACTTATTAAAATGATTTTGTTTTTGTATTTTAAAATATAATTTTTATATTAACATATTTTAGTGACAGTATATTTATTGAACAAAAATAAATTATTTTATAAAAATAAGCAGAAAATAGTACAAACTTTGCTAAAGAGATTGTTTTAAACAAGTATTAACTTAGACATTATTTAAAAAAAAACATTATTTTAGCTGAAGTATTTGTATAAATACCGTGTGCCTTTTACCCCATGCTGGTGAGCTTTTACCCCTCTTGCCACCTCATACATTTATACGATTTTTAAACAAAATAAACAACTTGAATGATTTATTTTCACCAAAAATCTGTTGCTCCATTAATGTTCGGGTGATATCAGGTAAATTGGGCCACTTTTTGGTTAATTGCTTGGGACACTAACAAAAAACCCATGTTTGACATTTAACTGTGTTCTTATGATTAATAAGGACTGTTTTTAATATTTTTGTGTTGAATTGATGTAATAAAATATAATTGTTCAGGCCCTACAGGTTTTGAAACATTAGCTGCCCCACATTTTTTGAGATAGCGGTGTTCAGGTAAAATGGGCCGGCTGATCAGCAAAAATGGGCCAGTCAAACTGCAAAGTGAAATAGAGACATTTCT